AAGTTGCTCAACAGTCCAAGCACCCAAGTTTTTATACACATTCCATTCCTTTCCTCAAATCGATGTGGGATATCTCAACCAGTATCCTTTTTAAAAGTGTGGTAAGAATTCATTTGGGTTAAAACAAGTATATGGCTGTTTCAGCCTGTTTGAGAAGAATGAAGTCCAGAATAGTTCAGCGAAGGATTTGGTCTTGAGTTTAAAAAATATTTGAACCTAGACACAAAAGTGTGCTAGAGAGAGTAATATTCAAAACACACCATGAATAGAATAGTTTGTGCTTATTTTCCTCATATACCTAATTTGACTGGTAGAGCTCAGATAGAAATTCCTTATGTAAAGAAAGTTCATGACTTGCAAAAATATTATCTGAATACACATGGGTCGTGACTTGACTCCAGTGCCACTTCATCATTTAATTTTCTCTTCTACTCCATTCACCACAAGACTTTAAAAGAACTTGGGTAACCAAGATTCACAAGTGATCTTCCACGTAAACAATCCTTGGTAAAATTATCAACACTCAAAAAACTCAATTAGTAGCAATGTTTACTACATCAAAAGTTAGTATGATTGAATTAACAACCAATTTTATAGCCTTTTTTTAGTTTAAGCCACGTGGACCACGTGCCATGGGACCATGGGCAGATACAATCGTTTCTGATAATTATGTGCATTTTGTATAGCGCGTAACTTTGTTTGTACATGATGTAACTTTAGAACAAAATTTTATGGATCTCACATTTGTTGTTAAAATCGAGATACAAGATGAAATCTGGACCTATAATATTTTTTGATCAAATCTTGACTGTGAACTGCTCAGGAACGATCCTTCTTATGACCGTCCCTGCCCTATATCCCATGCGATGCTAGTATATGGGTCCCACATGTTGACTCATTAACGTGTCATGCTATGATGACCTTGTAGTGCCATGTTATGATGGCATCCTGTCAGCATGACATGGCAATGCTAGGCTCTGATGGGGCGCACTTACTTCTTCAACCAATGTTCAAATTGCATCTTTAAAATTTTAATTATAATATTTGTTTTTTATGCTTTTTTGAATGGAACCTATTTCATTGTTATGAATTGTGTAAAAGTTGCACCCTCGTTAAAAAATTCACTTATTCATTTACCCATTTTCCAAGTTTTTCCCCTTTTAATTTTGTTATTCAAACCAAATAGACTTTAGTGCATTTTATGTTCCTTTGTTATTTCCTTTCATGCAAAGATTCTTCATTAATTCATCTGTTCTTTTCCTTCTTTTGTAATTTATCCATATAAAAAATTTAAGATATTCAAATTTTCAATCTAGTAAATCAAGTAAGATTGGCGCTAGAGCAACTTTCATTTAAAATACCCACAATACCCTTCACAAGTCTAACCCCATATAATAACACATATACATTGTCTCATATTCATCTAACCTAGTTAAAGGTTTGTTAATTGTCCATTTGACAACGAAGAGCTTGTATCCTCTATTCTTAATTAAAAATTTTCATTGTTTTTTCAGGTTTTCTTAACCCTTTTACATCCTAATCGGTAGTCTTTTTCTTCCCCTTTTTATTGAACATCTTAATTGGTTATAATTTTGAGAGGCTTTATTTTATTGAAGAAAAAAAAAAGAAATTAAAAATATTGAGACAGGGAAGGCTAAAGATGGAGGAGGATAGCTGTCTGATAAATAAGGGTGAGATGTACTAGAGAGGATTGACATTTCTATCCGACTTGTAGAGATAGAATTACTAAGAGAGAGATAATTAGGGGGAGAAACTGAATAAATCACAAACTAAAGATGTGGTGGGATCATGCAATTCAATTGATGAGATTGAGACTTTGACTCGTCAAGGGTAGTGTTGGTATTTAATTGAAAGTTGCTCTGGTAAAAAAATTCTTCTCTCGTAATATGGCCAGCTATCAAGTAAACTCTATGCCCTTTTCTTTTCTTCTTCTCGTAGTTGGTCAATTGGAAATTAATTATCTTCTAATCAGATCTGTCAAATCTCAAATATTCCTTATAATTTGACAATTGTAAACCAATTACATTTTTTCCTTCTTTGTAATGAAATTCATATGGGATCGATTTAAACAGCTCTTCGTTCTCTTTCATTTTGTAGATGTTCACTTATTATTTTTTTTCTTTTTTCTAAAATCAAATATTAGTAGATTTCTTAATTTGTCTTCTCTCCTCACATCATGTATCACCTTTTCATCATTGATTAAAGGTAGCAAAATTGAATTGCCCGGGTAGATTCAATGGAAAGTAGCCATCGGTTGGTGTTTGAGTTAACTATTTCCATTCCATCTAACTTCAATATCTGTTTTATATTTGGTGCAATATCTTGGATTTTAAAAGTTTGTTATTTTTCTATTTTTTATCAATTATATATAGAATTTTTCTAATGGTACCTAAGAAGCACTTAAAACGACACCTAAGTCACATCTAAGTTATCATATAAATATATACATTCATATTTATTGCATTTCCTGATTTGTGATACTTTTTTTTTGAGAATCTAATTACTTTTAATGAATACTTAATGAACGTCTATTAGCTAAACCGTTACAAGTATCTGATTTTTTGTTTTTTTTTTTTTGAAGAGAAAAAAGGACTCCCCATTAACTTGTGTACGGTAATAGTTTGCTTCTGCGTTTCCCTTTTACTTGTTTTTTCAGGTCACAATTCATCCTTTGATACCTTAGCATCAAGACATGGGAGCCAAATAAGTTAAAGTATTTTTGGAACTTTAATGACAGATTTTCATAAAGATAGAGTATCGTACCTCACCCCTTTCTAGCCAATCACATTCAAGCATTTTATTGCTCCTGATGACCCATTTGATTTCACAGCTCAGTTCTCACACACTTCTTATCTTTGGCCCAAATCCCCCTTTGTTATTTCTCCTACATTTGTCGTTCTTGATTCTCTTTGTTCTTTCAAGGCCCTCTTAAAAAACTTTTCTACCTCTCTCTTCACAGACGATCAAACAAACTCTCATCACAAACGATAAGTTGTTTATGGCCACTAACTATTTCAAGTCCATCCACCACCATCACCACCGTTCTCTACGGCGGCGCCACTCCATAGACTGCCCAAGAACCACTTTCTCCTCCACCTCCTCCTCCTTTCTCAAACCAACAACTACAAAAACCACCAACACCCTATCTCTTTCCCAGTCAATCTTCGCCACTTTTTCCCTATCATCCACCACTTCCACCTCCTCCACCACTCCTTCCACCTCACAAACCATCTCTTTTGACCTCCTTCAACAACATTTATCCTTGAAAGACTTCCGGCAAGCCGACGAAGAAACCCGCCGTCTCCTCATCATTCTAGCTGGTGAAGCAGCCCAGAAGCGTGGCTATGTTTTCTTCTCTGAAGTCCAGTTCATCTCTGAGGATGATCTCAGGACCATTGATGAACTGTGGAGAAAATACAGCAATGACAAGTATGGCTACAGCGTGCAGAAAAAGATATGGAATAAAGTGAGCAGAGACTTCACCAAATTCTTCCTCAAAGTTGGTTGGATGAAGAAGCTTGATACTGAGGTTCAGCAGTATAATTACAGGTCTTTTCCTAGTGAATTTATGTGGGAAATGAATGATGAAACTCCTGAGGGACATCTCCCATTGACTAATGCACTCAGAGGAACTCAGTTGCTGAATCGCATATTGAGCCATCCTGCTTTTGAAGGAGATGAAGAAGAAGGAGAAGAAGAAGAAGAAGAAGAAAAACCATTGACTCAAGAAAAAGGAGCAGAAAATGGAGGCCTGAGGAGTAGTAGTGCTATACCACCACTGAGCAAAAACATTTTCAAGCCAGATTACAGCTTTTAGATTTTTGTCAAGTTGTGCCAAGAAAGAAAAATTGAATCAACATACTGACAAATTTGTGAATTTATATATTAATATCATATTACATAGATGCATTGAAAACATCGATTGACTGGGATTGTTGTTTTTCTTAGTGTTCATTTTCTTTGGAATGACAAGTTTTTGTATAATTTTATGCTCCGGAACATAATGGGGGCAATCAACCAGTATAGGTTGATCGGAAATCTAAATTCAAATACAATCTAGTAGTACCTATAGATATATAAGAAATGTATTGAATCGATTCTTTTTAATAAATCGATTTAATCGCAACTTCGAATATGGAATTTGAATTCAAAATAGAACTATAATGAACATACGACTAACCATCATAACCCAATTAGCTCTTCAAATTTGTTATAATTGACGCGGCTTGATCTAGGTTGCTGAAACTTGTATATTTAGGGAAATTAAAATTTTTGTTCAAACTTTAATTTTTCATGTAGATTCTACATGACATTTGTCTGTAGAAATTGTAACGTTACTCTATATTTCTTAGAATCCAGGTACCTAAACAAAAATTTGATCATTAGGCAAATCAGTAACTGGCAGGATTGTACATTGTAATGTTATCGAATGAGGCAAGTATATTTTATTGCTTACATATCCAGAGGTTATTCTTAATTAATATTTGGGTTTGTGCATCTACAGCTACTCGTCGAACTGGAATTCCCGTGTCAAAATTTTGAAAATGTAAATTTAAATAGAAAAAATATATAAATGCAAAATATGACAATAATTATTAGTGTGAATTCATATCATAGATTATGCGTGATTTTCGTGTACTGATATCCACTTAACATTAGTGGGCACCCGTTAAAAAAAAAACCTTTAAATTTTTTTTGTCAGTCAAACATGAGTTGTATATACTACTCTCTTTTCAGGCATTTATTATGTGGAAATTGGAATGAGGTAATAGGAAGCTTAATAGTTTTGAGAGATTAGATCGACGGTTAGCGCTTCTTGTCTAATGTTCTTATAATCTTGTCAAATTTTCAACGGATTTACGTTCCACCATTATTCCTTCCACGAAGAAATTGTAAATGAACCATTCTTCTAATTTCTCTACATACATGCCTGACGTGATGTCCATTTTCCAACGTTAGAAATTACAAAAACAATTTTTTTTTTTTTTTTTTTTTGTAATTGCTCAATTGCATGTCAAGCTCATCCACCCTCCAATTTAGGAAACTAAGGAAACAATATATTTTCCCTTATGGTTAGACAAATTGATACATTAGTTACTTCTATTTTACAATAACATTATCATGGAGCTGATTTGGATGGCTTTTCATTCTCCTTCTTTTTGTAGGTTTTCATGACTTCTTAATTTTATTTACCTTCTTACTAAGATAATCACATAGTAGTAGGTTTCTTAATACACTTCCTTCTCGTTCAGAGGAGACTATCATAGGATAAGATTTATATGGAAATTATTCATCTGCTGTTCTTTGGTTTACCGTATTTACAGAATAAGATTGGATACTCCGGATGCACCACTTGACATTGTCACATGGTGCACTAATACTAATAATTTATCACTAGATAATTGTACTTTAGCTGCTTATATTTTGTCTAGGAGGTAGAAGACAATACATGATTCATCGCTATTATTTGACAATTTAATACTAGTACATCACGTACCATGTCACGTGATGCACATGAAGCATGTAATACCTTCTCCTTGAGTGATTTTCTCTCTATGTTTGTGTGCATAAGAAAGCGCCTTATTATACTTTAGTTCCGTAAATGCTGATTTGGACAAATTCTCCATGATTTTCTTCTTTTAAATTATATTTTTTTTACACAAATATTAAAATCCCACTCAATTAGCATTCTGATTTCTTAAGCTTAATTGAATATTTGTCTCCATGTTAGTTTTTTTTTTTTCTCAAAATTTTTATTCGTCAAACAAATCAAATTTTCATTGCACTTACACTTGGTCATTATTTCCTTGCATGAAATGATCTTCTTTATTTATTTCTCAGGTAAGAATTCCCCAGTAATAAAATATTAAACAAATTAGCTAAGTATCAACTATCAAGCTATCAACCAATAGTACCGAAACTAAGAAAATACCTGATCAGATTGTTCCTGCTCCACCACAAGTCACCAATTTGTTTGTGTCTTCTTAACACCTCTGGACGAATGAGTCACATACTTTGTCTCATTGCTGATAGTTTGCACAATTGTAGGACATTAGACACTGCCCTTGTATAGCAGCACCATATTTCTAAATCACTACAACCAATCGACAGTGATAGCCAGGGCCGATCTTAGTATCTTACCACCACAAGTAGAATGATGCCATTCACTAACCGCCAAACAACTCAGTTTGCTAATGTCAAAATTGTTTTGCCAGAGGCGATGGAAAAACATGTTTAAAAAATAAGTCATCCGAAGTTTCCAGCATCCGATGGCAAAAGCAGCATATTCCATATATTTGCAAGCAACATCGTCTCTAACGGTCCTTCGTTTTTTTTTTTTTTTTTTTATAATTATACATCCTTTGCATTCAATCTACCCTTACAAAAATAAAGGAAAAATCATTCAAAACTTCTCTCACATCTCACCAAATGACTTTTTTCATCCATAACTTTTAAAATGATAACTTTACCTCCCTTGCAAAATCAAGTCGGTAAAATTTGATTCTAATCTAGATTTTCTATTATCTTTTATTTCTGAATCAATCACGTGATCCATACATGATTATTTTTGGAAGAGTGAAAAAGTGAGATCTCATTTGTAATTAAACAATTGACCCAATTTAAATTCATTTTTTACCCTAAAAATGTAAGATTTGACTTGAAACATATTCATTTTTCCCTTAAACAAGTGGATTTAACCCAATCCATATTCATTTTTGCTACTAAAAAGTGAAATATGATTTTTTTTTTTTTGTACAAAAAGAAAAATGGAACAGCATTAACAATCCTAGGGGTTTTGGTGCTCAATTTCTTTCCTCCCAACAAGCTGGAAGCTGTAAATTAACTAATGATTTCCTGCAAGCTCTTCCTCCATCAAAAAGAAATAAACAATTGACATACGCGAGCATTGAAGATGAGAAGGCTCCTGCATTTTATTATACAACCTTGAACCATGCTTTTGAGTTTTAGTACAGCATGTCTACATCCTAAAATTTAATGTTGACAATGTTATCAAAGCAGAAAGTAGAAATTGCATGAAGCTATAATACAAAGTAAACACAGCATGTCTGCATCACGTATACGACTCTCATGCAAGAGGTGCCATAAATTACGAAAGAGGTGCTGTAAACTTGGATCATTTTCTATTTGCTTGTTTATGGAGATCCCAAGCCCATAAACACAAGTCCATGGTAATTTTGACAAATTTCGCTACAAGCAACTACTTTAAAATGGATGAGTGGGAAAAATGCTACCTTTTCCAAACACGTTATGCACAGGGGCAAAGCCTCCTCGTATGCTGATGTGAACCATCACAAGAAAGAATTGATTGTTTTTCTGTGTACAAGCATGCTCCTGGGTTCTGCGAGCCAAAAGAACCCAACAGATCAAAAGACAAGCTCTATCAAATTATTCATGTCACTAATACTGTTTAGCTAGATGCTTTTAGAAATACAGAAAAGTATATTGTACACATACATCTTAAACAGCTGTAAGCAATTTCGTATCATGTAAATAAACCTGTAACTGTAGCAGCCATTCATTCTGTTTTCCTCTGATTCACCATCAAAATCCAACATAATAATAAACTAAGAACAGGAACCAGTGTCATTATTTGAGGTCACAGTTGACTTTCTCGAGTTAAAACTCTATGCTCCCCTCGATATGTGTATGTATTTCACATTTTTTATGAAACCGATAATTATGCAGCCAAAATCCTCCACCAGTTAAATGTGCAGCCCTTCTTCAAACTAAAAATTCTCTGAAGCATGCAAAACTGTATTTCTCTTTCGTTAGCAAGAGGCACCATGCGCTTAAAGACAATGTAAAACATGAAGGAAAGCACTTTAAGGCGCCTTTTGGATTGAGGGAATGGAAGGGAAAGGAAAAGAGAGGAATAGGAGGGATTTGGCTTCTATTATTTGGATTGATTTTTGAAGAGGGAAAGGAAAGGATAGGAAGGGAAATGGAGGGAGAGAGTCTAGTTATTTTGTTGAGTTATGGTTTTCGGCGGAAAACCAAATTTATTGAAAAAATTTAAATTTTTTTAAAAGATCAATGTTTCCCTATCGTTTCCAAAAAATTAACACTTGATCTTTTCCTTCCTCAATCCAAACAAAAATCCAGTATTTCCTTTCTTTCTCTCTACATATAATCCAAACAGGATGAATGTAAACCACTTTCACCGCTCTCCTTTCCTTTCTTTTCCATTGGTACCCTTTCCTCTCCTTTCCCTTCCTTTCTTTCAATCCAAATGGTGCCTAAGTCTTGGAAACCTTTACCCCCCAAGGAATACTGGTAAATGAGATTATAGATCTAAAGGAATACTGGTAAATGAGATTATAGATGTCTCTCTCTCTCTGCATGCACGCACACGTCTATTTGACTTTTCTTTCAGGAATGCTCACAAAACAACAGTGTAATTTGGCAGTTTATAATTTTTTTCTCTCTTCATCATTATTTTTTATCATAATGATGTTTAATGAGATCAATTTTGTGACAGAATTGATGAAATAGTCATGAGGCCTGGGAATTGATGCTCACCAAGAAGTAGTAATGAGATCAATTCCTCGCTCGTCAAAAGTTATTCATTTCCTAATTTGGCACTAGAATTTCACCACTAAGTTGGAAAACAGTAGATATACCTAGTAGATAGTAAATCTTTAGTTCACTTTCTAAACCAAACTCTGCCAAATAAAACTTGAGTACATTTCCAATTATCTTAATTTTAACATTAGCTGCAACATAAACTTGCTTCAATCGAATTTAGAGATAAAACCAACAAAAAAGGAAACTAGTACATTTTAATTGAAAGTCATGTTCGGGAAAAAGTGGAATAAAAGCACAATTAGATAACAAGTTAAAGCATGAAACACTCTAGACATGAAAAAATCCTTACTTAAAGAAACAAAAAATGATATGAGCTTTCTAACACCATTCAGGTTTAGCTTGTATTTGATTCAATGTGTGGATAAGATGATGCTAGATGATATTTAAAAGAACATTAGTATTCTTCTTTTAGTCCATCTCATCAAACTTCAGGGTTTGAGCAACATTAGCTCCTGATCAAGGCTTTGCTACTGGTTTTTACCTAAAGACCAAATCATAAATCAAAGTAGCATCACTTACTTCCATCTCCTGCCTGTGACACTTTTGCGAATGACCGTACTAACAGGAGAAATGACAGAATGCAACAACTTACGCAAGTAAATGAGTCGGAGAATAAAGTATGTTCTCCCCCCCCCCCCCCCCTTTTTAAACCTCATCTGGTTTGGCAATTGACTTGGAGAACTTGTGAGACATCTTACTATGGAGGACAGAATAATATTTCCAGTTAAGTTTCAGTATCATTTTTCCAGACAATTTCTTCTTTATATGTTGTTTCATGAAACAAAATCGTAAATAATGACGCAATTTTGTTGAGATTCAAATTTTCTTAATATCTTGAAACTCCTAAGCCATTGGACTGTAAAATCCACCAAAAATGGGGTCATTTTAGATGCTTGCAATTATTGTTAGTTCCAAACAAATCTGCATCAAGTCTCAGTCCCTTTAAAAAAAAAAGTTGCAAATTGTTTATATTTCCTCATCAATAGCATGTCTTCTCCTCGTTCAAAAGTTACATCATAGTAAAGATTTATCAATTAATCAGCCTAGCCACTGGCAGAGAAAGATAAATTTTCTGCAGGACAACATATAGTCTCCTTCAATATATCAAAACCGCCTTTAAGTTAGATATATGCTGGTATCAATGGATAATGTTTGCTTACCAGTAAAATAACTACTACAAAGGGAAACTACAGAAAAGCGGCAAGAAATATAGTGTACCAGATCATTTGGAGCATCATCAACTACTTCAGCAGGTTGATCAGCTCCAATACTTGCCAAACATGATCCTTTGCAGCTAAAGTACTTCTGCATGCTATTGAAGATTTAAAAAAAAAAATCATATTATTGCGGAAAGTCAAGGACAGATTAAAGATAGATTACATGTACACTATACAAGAAATTGTGAATCCTGCATAATCCATCCAATTGCTACTAGCACTGCAGGAGATAAATTTTATCCTCCAGCCAAAGTACAGGTACACAACAGAAAAAGAAGAGAATAGATGCCAAGGCAGAAAAAAGATTATCAATTTTCTCCTATAACCAAATGGAAATGCCACACTTGCAAAGGGAGATGGAGTGATTAATTGTGTTATGCACCCAAAAAATTGACAAAATATATGCTTTTAAAAATGGAGATCCAATTTTATATGTTGGATCAATGTTAAAACATCAGTCATTATGAAGTTCAGTAACAACTGAACTATTGAACAGAAACGCGAAAAAGTAGAAACACCAAAAAGCAAGAAGGTGATCGAACATGCATGTACATGGAACTTACATCTGGCACTGGTTAAGTAAAGCTAACTTGTTGGGCACACAAGATTGTCCATTTGACTTGCATACTGAGTCACATGATTCCCCTTGCCTATCTCCAAACAAGATCCAAATAATGAGCATCAAGACCAGGTGATAAATTAATAAGGTGCATAGACCAAGTATGACCGTAATATGATATCTCACCTTCCGGCAATGATCTTTATGCCAACCAGTCTTGCTTCTATTTGCACGTCTGAATCCCCTGTTGCAACAAATATTCAGATTTCAGAGGTATCTGCTATTTGTCAGACAATCAACTTGGGCAATAAATCACTAGATAAAACAATAAATGACATGTCAAGACCTCTAGAAAAGCAGGCAGGTCTTCCGAGGGGCAAGCTAGAGTGTCTAACAAAAATAAATCACTCTCCTCTCTGAAACTCAGCAAGTTAAGACGTGCAGAAATTTAATATTTATGTTCAATGAATTGCACTATTAAGAGTTCTGGATGGTCATTAGGGTGTTTAAAAACCTAAGAGCAAGCCTTCAAGCTATAGCATGACTTTGAACTCAAGGAAATCATCCCCTGAAATAGCCTTCAAGCTTTACTTGAGTGTTTCTCATTCGAGAAATGTTGTTCTCGACAACATTAGATTTGAACAGTTCTTGGTCTCAAAAAGTCTTCCATATGATAATTTGTTTTTCTTCAAGAAATACTCAAGAGTCGTCTACCTCATAAATCAAAGGACATTCAAATCTCTTCTTATGTTCACTAAGAAAAATCATTGGATAGCTGTCTTCAAAAAATTACTAGAGTAAAACTCTTACGTTCTCCTTCAAAGGAGATTTGGTGTTCAAGGAAGTTACTGCTGCCTAAGTTAGCCTGTCAGTATATACTCAGCAAGAGAAAGTAATCTGTAAGTGGGGGCCCATGGGGAACAGTTTAAATTCCCAGGCAAATTGCTACTGCAACATTTTGCCATGTTCTTAACTAAACTAAATTCAAATTTATTAGAAATAAAGTCAAACAAACTATTAAACTAAAAAACCATCTGGAAGCAAGGAAACCTAGCAATACTGAAACCCCAATGCCAGTAAATTTTATATTCTAAAGAAAGTTGCTGCACTAACTGTTCAAAACAACACTGGGCATCTGATGGACAAAGTCTAACAACAAACTTTAGGTGCGCATGTAATCATCTTACTTTGAGCGTAGGTTCTATTAGTCAATTGTAATTCTCACAATGAGAAAAAGGATTACACATTGAACTTTTGAGGTTCTTCTCACAAGTGACTTAGTATTATTCTCTTTTCTTTTACTTTTGTGTAAAATGAATTCCCATATAAATGTGTTATACATAGCCTTAGCATTTCTGTCCTGCAAGAAAAGATTCTCCATAATTTGTGTCTAAAATTATCACAGAGAAATGTGCGGAACAGCACAGATCAAGCTTTCAGTTATCCTTACTCTAAAGTGACGTGACTCTAGGATCAGAAACTCAAAAAAATGTTCCACCAATATAAAGAAATCTCTAAGTGCGAGACAAACCACTAGGGAAAGGCAAATGTAGATAATGCAAAGAATAGACTGGCACATCAATACCCTTCAGGGTCTTAATCACCTACAGAGGAATAGATCAGGGAATAGGCATACCAGGGGGAATAATTGTTGAAAAAGAAATTGAATGATGGACCGTGAAGTTCACTCATGGGTGCTTTTCAAACATAACAGTATTAGCTACATCCCAGACCATCAATCATTTTCCCACCTATCAGCAACTATAAATTATTCAAACAAAAATTATTTAATACTCACCAGAAGAATTAGATGGTAGAGAGAAACAATGATGAAAATCACTTAGATACGCATTCTCATGGACCTGGAAAACCAGCAAGATTCGCAAAATGTTATATAACAGTCAACCAGATCAAATAAAGTTACATCCACGTCGATCAGGTAAGCTGAATACATATGACAATGATAAGCAACTAAACGTAGATAGTATTCAGACGATTATATGATAGAGAACTAAATAATGCAGAAAGGACAAAGGAATGAATATCAAGTCAAAACTGGATACAGACCAGAAAAAAGATTGCTTGCATGGGGACTAAGCCAGCCAGCCAGCCAACCCCCCCCCCCCCCCCAACAAAAGAAAAAAAGAAAAACAGGAAAAGAAAACAGACAAGGAAAGTAGTCATATTGGCAAAAAATAATAATAATAATAATAAAAATTAACTGTCACTTGTTCTTCCCCTATCGCTCTTTACTTCCAGTGTGTTCTCATATTTTGCAGCAAATGAGCTCAAGATGAAAGTGTAAATTTTAAGAACTCCAGGTCAATACTTGACTTCGTTTTTGAGAAAACAAAACCCAGAACTTCAGCTTCAATTTACCAACATTACCATTTTAAATAATAGTTAAAACTTCTTAACTGGAAAATTTCATTGATTACTCCAAGCTAATCACATTCGCAGAATATAAGAATCAAAAGGCAGACAAATTCAATATCTGCTTGAATTGTTAAGGGCCTTCCAAAACATGTGGAAAGCTTGGGCTTCAAATGCTGCTTTCCCACATTGAGCAGCATAAACTAGAATAAGAAATGTTAGATGCAAAAACACAGAAAAGGCACTGATCCAAAAACTACTCATCACCAATGGTTACAGCAGTCCAAGACCTATTTCACTAGAAGCTACAAATCTACAAGAACCACATAATTTCAAGATCAACATTATTCACTATATCATTTTAACGTTTGTACGGACAATAATGAGCCCTTCCAAAATTGTATGGACAATAGGCCTTACAAAAGTGTAATCAAATAAATTATATGTTATAATCAAATAAATTAGATGTTATACAGTCAACATCTGTCCAACATGAACCATTGTGGAATAAGGAGTCCTACTACAGATGGATGATTTCATGACTTGAACATTATCAGAGATACGTTCTCTTCCTCTTTTCCTTTCATACGAATACATCTCTTACAAAAAACACTTTTCTGTTCACTACACCGTCTGCCAACTGAATGTAGCTTCTGATTAACTTTCTTTCAAAAAAAAAAAAAACACTTTTCTGTTCACTACATAGTCTGCCAACTGAACATAGTTTCTGATTAACTTTCTTTCAAAAAAAAACATCTCTCCTGCTATTAGGCTTCCTCATACAACTTTTTTTCAAAATTTGCTCTGCTCAAATTCTGTAGGACAACCTTAAACTAAAAAGTCACGTTAATGTTACACAAAATCTAGGGGAAGTAAATGGTTCATCTCTTAGTCAAGACAGCGTGGGAGAACAAGATAAGACCAAGACACAAAGAGAAACAAAAATTTTACATTGTTTTCCATTTCATGTAATTTATAGACATGAGGTTTTAAACATCACATATTGGATATGTTCTAAAATGGACTAAGAATGAATTACCAAATTATCAGTCTCTAGGAGTCAATAGAGACTATTCAGCAAGGATTGGACATTTCATTGTTTATGTTAGAAAACACACTGATAGTGCAACCATGGGAAATTTACATTTCTATTACGGAGGGAAGGATGCTGTGCATATGCTGCTTCAAGTTCAATTACAGCTCTTGATCTATACATGTGTGACTTAAAGACAAAATAAAAATAACAAACAGAGCATTCATTATTCAGGAGATATTTAGAATATTAGAAGCTTTCTAGATATTTATCACTGCAACTTAGCATAAAAAATTCAGGAGAGAATTATGAAAACTTTTCGTACCTTCTCTCCTTTATTTCATACACTCAGAGAAACAGATACAGATAAGTCTGTTAAGTGTTTCTTCTCCTAAACAACTTATAAAACATTTAATAAAGAACAGATAAATCCCTAACAAAAAAATTCCAATAATGAATAATCATAACTAAATATCAAACATTAATAGAAAAGAATATGAACGTTGTTTTATAACTTCACTCCAAAGTTTTAATAGTTGTCTGGGTGAAAGTCAGCAAAGAAAAATTATAGCCAGCACCTCATATTCATGTCAAGTTCAAAGTATATGACCATCCTAAACAATAACAAAAATAGAAGGAAAATGAGTCTTACTACACTCTCTGAATTATGGCGACACCTCCCAGCACAATAATCAAAAATGCTTGAATAGGTTCCTGCCATCACAATGAACAGTATAATTAACAACTTAGTGAAGCCATTAAGTACCATGGAAACCAGAACATGCAGCACTGGAGATAAACATGTATCCCCCAGCACAAATGGTCGGAGCACCTAAAATAACTGAAATTTAGCATAATCACTTCAAAGTAGAAATAAAAATTGTTAAGCTGAATAAGTACACTTCAAAAATCATCCATAAGGCTAAAACCAGAAAAAATAAGAATATAAAAATCTTCTTCTGTTTTTACTGCCTAATTGAATGAAATGCACAGTGAAACATCACCTGCACTTACTGGCTTTGCTATCTTAAGCTTCAACACCAGATCCTTTTGTGTCTGCAGACCAATTTATGACTTAAAAGTGATATAATAAACTCCTAAAATCGAAAAATATTATCAACCAACAGAAACAATGAACAAATTACCCGAGCTGGATTGAGGCAGCACGAAACACAATATTCATAAGAGTTACAGCATTGTGAAACAAGGTTGCAGCCACTGCAATGGAGTAAAAGCAGTTTAGGAAGTAATAAAGCACTATAAACTACAACAGACATCCATTTTCCCGGAAGATATGACACAATCTTTCCAAAAACGTGCTGCAGCAATATTTTTTGAAAAACTCTCCCAAAAACCGCAACACAAATGGAGCAAGAAAGACAACGTGGCCTGATAATTAAAAAGGAAAATTAGGGATTAACTCACTGACAAGAGAATTGCTCTCCTCTGATAGGACAGCATCTGGACTTTGGATCAACTGAGAGTGCATCACATACATGACCTACAACACTAAAACTTATTCCCTTAAGAATCCATCCAAATATTTACCAGAAAATTGTAAGTTACACACTCATATCTGTTACTGGCACACGACTTTTTAACCGAGGTAAAATGATAAAAATTCCCTTACATCTCATCTAAATTAGAATCTATAATTTACATGGTTGAATGAAATTCAGAATAGAGCTATTATTATCTTCAATTCACCCGGTTAAAAGCTAAGAGAGTGCCAATAACAATTCCCTTACACGATACGACAAAGTTCAAACATACAAAATAGTTCAAAGGGAAAAATAATAACAGAAAAAACTTCCCAAATAAGGAAAATTTTGAAATTTTGTTATATTAGAAACTAATTAACAAGTATAAAGGGGGAGAGGAAAAAAAATCGAATTGTACCATTATCGTCAGAGAGTAAGTATCTTCCTTGAACTGTAGTTCTGCAATGACGATTCTCCTGAAGGCTCACATCTTTCCTGTTAAACCAAAAAACCATTAAAACCAAAAATTAATGGGGAATTTCAAAATTGGGGACGAATTACAGAGAAGAGAGGATTGTTCAGTTTTTACCTGATGGCTGATACAGTGGAGCCTAGCTCAAGTATGATCAGATGCCACGCTAGGCAAATTAACAAAAAATTAGAGATGATTTTGGGAGGAATTTTTGAGATCGATTTCAATTCTAACATTTCTTTCCCTAATTTCTTTTGCGAATTTCCTAAACCTTTTGAATTTTTAGGAATTTCAAAATAGCTTTGGTTTAGAAAGGATTGAAATCGGTGAACCGTCGTTCAACGGGTCGGTTTAAAATTGGTGCAACTCGAGCTGGGAAACATCTCTCTAAGGTGTAGAAAATAGAATGGGTGATATAAAACTAATACTAATGCGGCGTATGATGGGTAATTAAATAGCTCAGGATTAGAGAAAAGTAAGAAAAGTTGCGAGAACTCGCACTTTTATTCTTAATTTCATCTGTTTTTAAATTATTTGTATTGACATATCATTTAATTTTATTATTTTAGAATGAATTTTATTTAAATTATATCCTTATCGCTTACGCGTAAAAATTTTTTTGCAAAAGTCGTACCGACGTGATTAATTGGTGATTTGGGAAGTTAACATCGGACTAGTAAGAGTGAGTATTAGTGGAGTAAGAGAAACAATCTTGGGAGATTAGTATTTAAGAGCAAGAAACAAGAGAAAAACTAGTGAGTGCATGCCACTATTTGCAACTATTCCTAATTGACTTCTTGAACAACTAAAGTGCCAACTTTCATTTCATTTCAAATCATCAGCCAAGCCTTCGGCTTCCTTTCTTCTCTCTCTCCTGGACCGAATCTTGAGGTTGCAAAAGAGGGGAAGAAAAACTCCTTCTCCAATTACAAAATCTTGCTCCAAAAAACTCCTTCTCCAATTACAAAATCTTGTTCCAAAATCTCTCAAATCTTCACTCACATTTGGAAGTTGTTCAAGTTTAAACAAAGGCCTTGTCTTGTGGTGGTTCTTGGTAGATTTGATGGGCAAAGCTTGGACTTAGTTAGGGTTGAAAAAGTTTGGAAGAGGTAATTAACTCCACTCTACTTGATCTTTGATTTCATGCAAGAATTAGTAGTAGATGTTAGTTGTTATGAAAGGATCTCTTGAACCCTAAAAAAATTTATACTAGATGACTTGAGAATCTTTCATATTTTATGATGGAAGTTCTGGTAGATTTTGATGCTATAAGACTTGATATATGTTGGTTTGTGTTTATCATGAAAATCTCATGCATTGAATGAATATTGGAGGACAAAGTTCTGAAAATTTTTCCTGTGTGCTAGCCGATCTGATCAGCTGGTTTGCAACCCTGATTTTTGAAATTTGGGGTGAAATCTAGCTCAATAATCTTTGTTAGATGTTAATCTATGAATGTGTGAGTGGGTTGAGCAAAAATTTTGGACTTAAGAAGTCGAAAAAATAGAGTTCTTGCAACCCTGTATTTCTGAAAATTTTCGCAGGTCTTACTGACCAACTTTAGAAAAATCTCGATATCTTGGTGTAGAAAAATTCGAATCGAGTTCCGTTTGTGGCGTTTGAAGCTAGACATAGAATTCTTTCAACCTTGTAAGTTTTAGAATTTTACTCAATTTCTACAAGCGCCAGAAATTTCACAAAATGAGTGAAATTCAAACCTGATTTGCTCTTAAACTTGGTAAAGTTATAACTTGAGGCCAAAATTTGACCTACTTGTGGATTGAATCTTAAAAATGTGTTTTCAAGATAATTGTAGTGCTTTGAATTTAGTTTCCAACGGTATAAAGTTTGTGATTTTTGGACTTACAGAACTCAAGATATGACTTTTCAAGTAGCGTCGCGCAAAGCTGAATTTTCTGGTTTAAAACAAATATGTTCTTTTAACAACTTCCAACTTTCCTTTGAAATTGTTAGTCCGTTTTAACTTTGATTTCATGGGTGGATACAAGGTATCTTGTCACCTTGTGTGCTAAGTAACTTAGGCTGTACGTGAGTGATGGTTTAAAGAGGGGATTTGGCTAAAGACGGTTTGCATTTGGTGATTGTTGGTTAAAATTACTTCAGGTGTCCAAGAGAATTTCGAAGGGAATCCGGAAGCGAAACCGTAAAGGACTTGCTTGCTCGTTTGCTTTTGGTTGTGATGAGTGTCAAGTGCATGTTTCTTGATATTTTTATTTGAATAATACCACATGTTATGTGTTGAATATTGAACTTGATGAGGCGAGAATATACTTTATCACACTCGTTCTTCCTTTCTTGAATAATTTTGTACTTGCTTAAATTTGAGTGACCTGTACTTGTGTTTACTTGTAAATATTCAGCGGCAACATGTACCACACTCAATTCGAGTGAGAGGTGCTTCTCATCCCGTCTCAGTATATCTATCTTGATGAAATCGATTGGAAAGTTATCTCATCGACCACACTTGTTCTTGCTTGAGTATATTCGAATTTTACCACCGTTGTTTTTATTTGGGGTTGGCCTCAGCAGGGGGTGTAATGGTGGACAAAAAAAATTAAAAGTTGTTGATCTTGGTCCCTAGTCTGTTATGTTTACAAAACAATGGATAATACTAATATCTCTTCAAAAAATACTTTCAGTTATGAAGCAAATCAGATTCAAAGATCAAGTACAATTGAAAGAGACAAAGGCTGCTGAAAACTGTCAGACGCTTGTGAAGTTAGGATTGGACGTCCGATATTCATTGCTCAACTTCGGACGCATGAAGAACTCCATCATCGGACGTCTGAAAGAATTAAGACATTCCACCTAGCTCACTGACCTTTTTCGGACGCAAGTATCGGACGCCCGATAGGTTCGTTCAAACTCGACGAAAGCTATCGGACGCTCACAAAGATAATACCGGACGTCCGATAGAATTGAGATATTTCTTCTAACTCATTGTCTGCTTTCGGACGCAAGTACCGGACGTCCAATAGAATTGAAGAAGATTTTTCAAACTCACTGTCTGCTGTTGAACGCAAGAAACTAGACTACCGGACGTCCAATACTCCAACAGCTAGTTGACTCTTCAGCCACTTTCTATCCGTTGGAAGCATTAATGAAACTTTTTTTTGGTCTCCTATAAATAGAGTATGGTCAGAAATTTCAAATAACTTTTACACACTGAAGATGCAAAAGATTTAGAATAGTTTTAGTGAGAAAACACTCTCCAAAGAAGATTTATAGTCTTAGTGGTGTGAGATTTATTGTAAGTTTTTCATTTGTGAGTGAATATTTCATGAGTGTAGCTCTGTGAGGATTGTCCCGAGGGATGGTAAAATTTCCTAACTTGATCGAGTGGAATTCGGGGTAAGGAGGGGGTGACCATTTCTTTTGTACACAAGAGTGATTGTAATTCATCAACTTGAAGAAACTTGTTTGAATTAATCTGCAAGCTCAAGAGGAGTTAGGTAGTTAATTGGTTTGCAATTCTTTCCTTTTTATTTACTTATTGTTACGTTGTGATCTTTACATCGTTTATCTCTTCTACTTCTCTCAAGTGATTTTGTTCATTCATTAATTGATTCATTGTGTGATCACTTAGAAAACAGAATAAATTTCATATTGAACAAAAAGTGCCCATAACTTAATTAGGTTTTTCATCAACCTAATTCACCCCCTCTTAGATTGTCTTCGATCCTTACAATTGGTATCAGAACTTGGTCTCCTAGAGATTAAGTTCAAGCGGTTTAGGAGTAAAAATAACAACCAACAATGGCATGTTTTTGGAAAGACAATCTGTGATTAGACCACCTATGTTTAATGGGTCGAATTATGTAAGTTGAAAAGAAAGAATGATTATTTTCTTGCAATCGATTGATATTGAATTGTGATTTATTGTTAATGAATGTCCATATGTTGTCTCTATAGTAGATGATATTACTCATAGATCAAGATCAAAAACTAGAAATGAATTGACTGCAGTTGATAGAGCTTATCTCACCTTAAATGCAAAGGTTATGAATGTGTTATATTGTACTTTAGACTCAAATGAATCTATTAGAGTCAGGAATTGCAAGTCAACTAAAGAAATTTGGGACAAATTGAAAGAAATTCATGAAGGCAGTAAGAATGTTAAAGAACAAAAGAAATCTATCTTAGTTACCAAATATGAGTCGTTTAAGATGGAACCATATGAAAATATTGATCAAATATATTATAGATTTAATGATCTTATTAAATATTTAGAGGTTCTAGAAAAGGAATATACCTTAGGAGAGAAAAACAGAAAAATCTTGAATGCTTTGTCTAATGATTGAAAAAATAAAGTGACTGCTATTGAAGAGGCAAGAGATTTGAATTCAATGCCTATTGAATCTCTTGTAAATTCTCTAACCTCTTATGAGTTGAAACTTAAGTCCAAAGTATAAGAGGAAGAAGATGCAAAGGTAAGGAAGAGTATTGCTCTAAAAGTCTCGAAAGATGAAGACGACTCAGCTTCCTTGGATGGAGGTGATGTGAAAGTTGATGATAGTGATATTACACTCATCACAAGAAGTTTCAAGAGTATTCTCAACGAGAGGAGATTTAGAAAAGGAAAATCTAGCAATTCATTCCCAAATCAGTTCAACAACTCAAGAAACAAAGAAAATCAAGAGTTCAATAAGAAGCAAACTGACAAATGTTTCGAGTGCGGCCAATCTGGACACTATACGAGCAAGTGTCCAATGAAGAAAAAGAAAGAAGAAAAAATTGAACGAAAACCAAAGTTTAATAACTTCCACATCACTTGGAATGACTGCAACTTAGATAGTGAAGTTGAAGAGAAAGAAGAATCTACTCAATTGGCTTTTATGGCCATTGGAGATGAAGAGGTAAATCTTTTAACTCTCAAATTGAAAGTGATGATGAAAGTGATGATGATCTTGAATCTTTCAATATAAAATTACATGATAGTTTGAAAGATTCTTATATTAGTATTAGAAATAAGAAATTAAAATATAAAATTGACTTTTTTCTTTAGGATAATACACATTTTTTTCAAGAAAATAAAAAACTGAGAACTGAAAGTGATTCCTTAAAAAAGATGAGACTTTTTTACACTTTGACCTTGATAGAAAAACAAAATTTTGTGAAATGTTCAAAAAGAAACAAGATGATTTGAAAAGAATAATGGATAATTTAAATAAGTTACTCCAATATAAGAAACAAAACTTTTTTCAAGAAAATGGAACAAAACCTCATTTTGGCACTTATGAGAAGAAGATTAATTCTGCTACAAATGATTTTGCTGTTTACAAAAGAAAGCAAGTTAGATTTATTAAATCTATTCATGTAAATAATTCTTTGGTTATGTGTAATTTTTGTTATCAAAAAAGTCACATGAAAAGTGATTGTTATGTGAGAAAAAACATAAGAAGAGCCATAAAATGCATGTGGA